ACACCAACTTCCACAAAAGAGGAAAACAGAAAAAGAGTGAAAATCTCCAGGAGCAAAAGCAGAAACTAACAGAGGGCGCTTTCGATGAACTCTTTTGTGGAAGTAATACATGACTTCATTGCCCAAATTTCGGGTCCTCAATGCAATCGTCATATCTAGGATGATCAAGAAAAAACACACATTAATAGTACAAAACAGCAAGTATAATAAAGAAAAGCAAAACATAAAGTCTTAAAAGATTACCAGCCTTGATGAATAGCAGTTTCTTCTTCCTGGAATATGAGGCGGGTTGAGGTTGTTCCAAGCGTTTTCATCCACATAGCGTGATTGGTTAATGTAGAACAGGCCCGTAGTTAAAGGTGGGGGAGCTTCATCGATCATTGGAAGTTCATCCGCAACTAAAAATATATGCACTAGCTATGAAAGAAGGAATCTATATATCGTTGTAACACATGGTTTAGCTCTACAAGTAAACAAAAATGATGTAGTATGAGCTTATAATGAAACTTGGATCCATAATTAAATCAAAAGTATGCTATTCGACAAACCTAGTATATCAAGATGCTACAGTGAAAAACTGAGATTCTTCTAGTAAGAGACTAACGAAACATGTTTGATGTTCAAACATAATGAACTACAAAATTCAATTCACATTCAATGATTTCAGTAATTTGTTTAACCATAAGACGAGAACAAGATTTTAAGGATCCAAAGCAGCACAATAGGTGCACGAGCGCAGGAAACCCAAAACTGAGAAAAACAAATGAAAAATCATGAAAATAGTTTTGAGAAAATAGAAAGAATAGTGAAAAATCTCGAGGAGCAATGCTGCTAAGGGTAATTGGTTAAACTGAAACTTACAGAGGACGTCGTCTATGCACTCTTTTATGGAAGTAATAGAGTAAATTATGTTTACGAGAAATTGGTTTTGGAATTTTGAATGTCGATGGTCTATCTTTACCAATTAGCTTTCCAAAAAAACCACACATATGGTTTCACTGTTAATTCCAAGTGACATTGATCACCCCAAGCAGCTTTCCAAGACATGACTCTTTCCCTTTACTGGTTCACTTGCCCTATGGTTTCATTGATAGTACAATCTTTCAGAAGTGTTGATTTGACTTAAGTTAATCAAATCCCATCTATAAATTCACTCACCTCTTCAACATTTTGTTCTCACTCTAATACACTCCGAAACATCATCTCATTAATTTCACTCGTCTTACTAAGTAAATTAACTCACATCTTCAAGAGATCAAGAAAACGGACAAGAATAACGATAGCGGAAAATCTGGCAATATAGTGCAAACCGGTGGCAATGGATCTGGTTTGGCGAATATGGTGGCGCCTGGGACTGGAGGTGTAGTTCATTTACCTCGAGATGCTTTTGAAGCCAATACTAAGGCTTATTTTGACAACTTTCATGCCAAGGACAAGGCACAAATGTGAAATGTGTTTATGTAATAGTTAAAAGCATAAACACCTTCTCTGTTTATTCTCTTATGTATGACGTGATTCATCTATGATGATCATAAGTTTAATAAAATGAG